CAGTATGGCCGTGTAGTGACTGCCCCGACCACTGCCGCTCGACCTGACCGGAGAAAACCGTAGCAGGGTGCTCGCGAAGTCGTGGTATATATCGTCAAACAGAGCTGCCCAGTAAACTGTAGGCAGAGAGGGAGAAGAGGACAACAAACGAGGGGCTTTGACAAACTATTTCGTCGGAGTTTCACCGACTCATCTCCAGAGGACTTCGAAATTGAGGGGGAGGGAATGCAAGGATTTAGCACCTTGGTCAGCCACAAAAAGGCTCTGCCCACCCTAAGCGAAGGCAGGCCTGCAAAAATGAGGCCGGGCCTGAGCACAGGGCAATGTGAGCACAATGGGGTGCCCAGGAAGTTGCTGCACATGTGCAGCATCTTCAACTAACAGGTATGCCCAGCCCACGAATTAGTAGTCCAAGATGCTGGGCCTYGTGCAGATTGTGGAAGGGCCCAGGGCGCAGGAATTGGGACTTGGTGCGGCCTGGCCAGAGGCTGCTCGGCCTTTTCAGCCAGCACGAAAGGCTGCAGGGTGCAGCATTTTACTATTTTTTCAATTTGGCAGCTTCACTGGAGCGGTAGCTGAGCGCTGTGCTCGAGGAGGACGCTGCACGGTGGAATCGAGTTGAGAGAGAAGAGGGAGAGCGGCAGCCATAGCCGGACTGCCTGAGCACAGGGCAATGTGAGCAAAATGGGGTGCCCAGGAAGTTGCTGCACATGTGCAGCATCTTCAACTAACAGGTATGCCCAGCCCACGAATTAGTAGTCCAAGATGCTGGGCCTTGTGCAGATTGTGGAAGGGCCCAGGGCGCAGGAATTGGGACTTGGTGCGGCCTGGCCAGAGGCTGCTCGGCCTTTTCAGCCAGCACGAAAGGCTGCAGGGTGCAGCATTCCACACATTTTGGGTATTTTACTATTTTTTCAATTTGGCAGCTTCACTGGAGCGGTAGCTGAGCGCTGTGCTCGAGGAGGACGCTGCACGGTGGAATCGAGTTGAGAGAGAAGAGGGAGAGCGGCAGCCATAGCCGGACTGCCTGCTCCATAGCTGGTGGTGGAGTAGCGGGAGGTCCTTGGTGGAATGGGCAGTGGGAGAAGGAAGGGAGGCAGTGTGACGAGGCACGTACCTTTGTTGGCAATGGCAGACTGTTCGATCAGAGTGTTCGAGCGGTATTAGGATGACGACATGTGGACCAGTTGCTGACATAGTAGGCTAGTCTGATAGGAGACATAGGAGGTAGAGTTGGCTGTCCAGCCGCCTGTAGGTGGGCTACATTGCTGTTGCATTGGTGATTGGAGGCGTTGGAAGGGCTTTCATTATCAAGAGACTTCAGTGCTTCGCTCGTTCCTATTTGGTTTGAATCTCGCTTTGATTTCTGCATTCAATTTGGCTCACTGATGTCTGGCCTTCTGTGAGATGTCGCAACTTGGTTTATTTCTGTTTGCATTGCTTATTTCCTTGCATTTCCCTTTATATATTTATAATTATTGCAATGTTATTCATCTTTTATTGATATATGTGCTAGGCTACAAGCCTGGACATCTGGGCCCTTTGCGGCTGTCTGTTCAGTTGACCTGTCCGGTCTCAGCAAAAGATCTAAGGGGCTGGGGGGTAAATTTCTGAAATTATGTAAACACTTGACACTTAATACATTCTGAAAGAAATATATGACACAGGGAATCGTAATACGAACAACTTTTGGCTGAGAGTGAGATCTCCAAATTCCCAATGGAACTGGAAGGACAAAATATAAAAGAAGTTTAAACTTTAAACTTTAAAGAACATAAAATAGTCTTTAATAAATATATTTCTTAAAAAGTAGCCCCTTCAGACCCCTCCAAACCCCAGCAATAACCCCCTGCGACCCCCCTTGACCCTCATGCAAGGTTTTGACGAATAGGCTCTGATTTGGCCTCCATTTGACAAGTGCACAATCCTCATGTAAAAGGCTGATTTATTTTTTTTAAAGGTTTTGGGTTGTCCGGATTTCAGATAAATTCTCGATAGTTTCAGATATGGTTGTCAATTGGGGAAACAAAACACAAGGGTGGTGGATACACTCAAATGGGGTTCGCCCTCCTGAACAACCTAGGGTCCATTGGGTCCCCTTGGAGGCTCCCATCAGAATACTTGGTGTGACATTAACAGCTAAAGGTAAACCGGCAAATAATGATGAATGGATATCAAGGCCGGCGCTTGAAAAAATGAATCAATGGAAGAACCAACACACCTCAATCATAGGAAGAACCCTCATTGTCAATAATGTTGTTTTAGCTTCAATATGGTAGAAATCAGGGCTCTGGTCCATTGGTAAAATGCACATGAAAACTCTTCAAAGACAAATTTCAGCATTTCTTTGGAGGAGTAACCATGAGCAAAAGAAGGTCATCCCAAGAGTAGCCTGGTTGTCTCTAATTCAACCCAAAACTAGAGGAGGTTTGGGGATACTAGACCCCGATTTTCAATCACAAGCCATTGGTTTGCAATGGTTAAAAAAATTAATCTTATTCACAGATAAGCAGTGGCTGCCTTTGGTCCTGGAACAGATTAAGAGGCTGGCCCCGGTTGCATCAGAAGAAATACATCCTCTAACTTGGTTGGAAGATAGATATTGGACCATACCAAGAGCCAAGACACAGTCTAGTGAACAAGGTATAAGAGGGGCAGTGAGATCGGATCTAATGCTAGATAACCTTTGGACAACACTTATGAAAATTTGGCGTAAGCTCCCCTTACCCAACAGACCATTTCCCTCAAGATATGAGGAAGTAATGCGCCAACCGCTATTTGGTAATCGATGGATCACGGATCTTAATGGATGTGTTTTCAATAGTTCAAAGTCACCATGGTCCTTGTGGGTGAAAAAGGGGGTTTTAAGAATCAAGGACCTTTGGGATTCAGAAACCAAGAATTGGAAAACAATTGAGAAGTTGAGATTAACTCTACGCTATGCTCACCGACTGTCACTTAATTTAGAACAAATTATAATCTCAGTTCCGTTAGCCTGGAAACGATACTTGAGGGAAGGACCAAAGTTTGAGGAAGGTGACTGGGTAATGGGATTTGATGATCATAATGGACAACTGAGAGGGGGACAGATTGTTCATCTTCTGCCTCAGGGACCCTTAGTGAGTATTCACAAGATGGATAGAGATCACTTTTTGTCACCATGTCCTTTGGACACAGTAACCTTCTTTCCTTTCTCTCACATGTATCGTATTAGAGTGTTGTTCATTTCGGCAATCCAGGGTTGGAAAGCCTTTCATCCATAAATGCCTATCCCAGAGTTACCTTTGGATCCAGAAGAATGGCGGTGGCAAACTAGTAAGAAAGGGAAACCGCAATTACTACAAACCTTAACAGTGAAAGCAACCTATAGACTGCTTAGACCAAAGGTTGACATCATGGCAGTAGTTCAGGAGAGGTGGACAAGGCATTTAAACATTGATATAAATYTGATCAAACATATTAAACTTTTYAAAAATATTAGACAACGCCCAGCTAAATTATCTTCATTACAATGGCAGATCATTCATCGATGTCTGCCCACCAATGATTGGATTGTGGATCACTCCACACTGGAGCAGCAAGGAGTAGCACTGCCTTGGTGTAAAACTTGTCTGTCCGTATTTCCAAGTAGAAAAGTGTGTGAAACTATAGAGCATATTTTCCTGCAATGCCGAGGAGCTGTGCTAATTTGGAGGCGYTGGGATTGTGTCTGGAGAGAACTCACAGGATTGGATTGGCCTTGGGAATGGAGGACTATCCTTTTTGGGCATCGGGAGCCCCTTTTGCTCACACCCACCAATTTTCAACTTAATTTCTTTAACATTGGACGCAAAGCTATTCTATGGTCCTTATGGTATAAACGATGTGTGCGTGAGAGAGAAGAGGTGACCCTAGGGGGTGTGGAATGGGGAGAGTACATAATACAGTTTGTCCAAACAGAAATCAGAGCCCATTGGAAAAGTACCAAGGAGAAACTGAATAAATTCACACAAAAAAAAGACATAAGGCAGACAATTCAGAATTTCACAAAAGACTGGCTGGGGGAACCAATAGAGCGGTCCTTGGGGGAGGTAAAATGGCCAGGGGCAGAAGACACAGAGGGACCTCTCAAGAAAGATTTCCAACTGGTCTTCCGAAACTGGTTCACGCTTCCACCTAGAGCTGTTCTCAGGGACCCAATTTCTTTCCAGATCCATTTCCCCCCTCTGAGCTAGCCTTGGTAGATCTACAATGGTTTGGTCAAGGGGAAAGTTGAAAATTTTTCTAAGGGGGAGAGAGTAGCTTGGAAGGATTGATAAATCTGGCACCCCGGGTAGACTGTGAGGACCCCGGCCTCAATCTTTTTATTGAAAATATCTGCCTTGGGCACTGGGCCCTAAAAAAAAAAAAAAAAAAATGGATGGGCAGGACCTGGACATCTTGGTCCAGGCACCCTGTTAGCCAGGTATATTTGTTGAAGGTGTACCCTGCTGGCTATGGATCAATTCTGTACTCCACCGTCCAGGTTCACGTTTCTTACAGTTTTTCTTTTTCTCACTTGGAAATGCAATATAACTATGAAATACTTCAAGAATCGAAATTCAAATACATGCTTTCGGGGAAGCCGTCTCCTTAACCCAGTAGGATCAACATATGATCTTGTATCCTAAAAACCCAAGGAGGTCTAACAGAAGCCATCTTTATGGTCACTATCCTGACTCTGTCCTTTTCTTGGCTCTTCTCATTGTCAAACCTCTAGACAGTCTTCTTGCAGCACTGCCTTTAGCCGGGGTTGCTCTGTGCTCCAGCGTGCCTGCCTGCTTCAATGAGGTGCCTCTTGATTTGGAAGTTCCACCAGACCTAAGACAGCCCATGCTAGTGGATGATGGGAGAGGGGTTGAGGTTTCAAATCTTGCTTTCCTGCTTTGTCAATGCTAATATGCCAATTACTGTTGTCATCAACATGTGTTCTGCCTATGGAAACCTGATTCCAACGTGCCGTGGACATCGTCATCGGACAGTTGCATGGCCGGAGATCCTTTCCTTCATCCACCCGCAGCAAGTCGTGTAAGTCAAACGTTTAACTTTGATTCCGACTACGCCATAGCCGCCAAGTGAAAATTTTCAGCTTAGACAAAAGGACTTTGCAGAGTCCGCTGTCAAAACAGGAAAAGGGCTGGAGCTTTCCGTCAACAGAACCCAATATGTGGTAGTTGAAAGAAGACACAGCAGCTCAAATGTGATGGATTTGCAATTCAGCAGTTCAATGAAAAGGAAGGCAGCCATTGCACCTCGCCACCTATTTTTTAATTTTGCAGGAAATCTTCCGAAAAAGGACCTTTCGAGATATTCGCAGTCGTAGAATTTACCATAATCGCAGGGCGCTGACTGGCTTTCGGTGTTATTTTTAGGGTAAAAAATTCTCAAAATATAAATGATTATTGAATATGGGTGAGGATGCCATGGTCTGTTCAGTTTCCTCAGGTGGGGTAGGGTACGCCTCCGGGCTCCCTAAAAACTTAGTAAAAAGGAGCATGAGGAGAATTAGTGACAGGGCCCATTGGACGGTGTGTATGGCTTTGTAGGGAAATCTTATGACCACAATCAGTTAGCAAAATCGAACTTGCAGCAACGACCACCAAACTTCAGAATGTAAACGTAGGCATAGGTCAGTGAATTAGGGGCAGGCCCTACTGTGGACTATGTCTAGGTTTGTCCAGGTCTTTTTGCGGAAATCTGATTGCATCATTCAGATGTTGAAACCAAGTCTCACAACTACACCCATCCTATGTTGAAACTCGATGTAGACAATAGCTCAGTGATTCGTGACAGGCATCACTGGACTATGTCCAGACCAGTACATGGCCCCAGCCAAGTTGAGAGTCCGATTGAGCCCCTCCTAAAATTTAGGAGGCTCGTACACCGTCGATAAAATAAATCGGCCCGCGGCCAATGGCTAGCATGTACTGGTGGTTTAAATAGGGAAATCTGGTTGCCGAAATCAGATGGCAAAAGCCAACTGGCATGAATGGATATCATATTTCTCAAAGTCCAGACATAGGAGAATTACAGATCATTCCTCCCCTTCTTCCTCTTCAAATCCCCACAAACCCCCGTTCACTCACCCCCCTTTTTGGAAATATGCAAATGTCTTGGGTGTGGGTTGTTTCCAAGCGATATATATCTTTCAAGTTTTCGAAGATCGGCTTCTGCCAGTCAAACCCTACGATGTTGTGGGCAAGACCTAATATCCTTCGATTTTTACATTGTTGTTGGGGGTGAACCAGATGTGGCCTGAGCCTGAAATGGTTGATACCATGCATAATCCTGCCCGAATTTATACAATGCATTTGTGCAGCATTTTCCGTTGATCATTGATGACCAATCGGGTGGCAATAGGCGCTGGAAGAAGAAGGTTCCTGAAGGTTCTGGTTCTTCTGAAAAATCTAAAGATTCTGAAGACTTTATGAAGTACGAAGGCCATATCACAATAGATCACTTTGGATTGAAGTGCGCCGCAACTGTGGTCACTTACACATGACGTGCCTGATCGTGTGACGGGACGGGCTAGAAATCCAGCACCCACCAATCAGGGAGAGGCAGATGAAAACACAGTGGAAAATGCAATCAAATTCGGCTCATGGTATACACGCATGCCACTGACAGTGTTTGACAGAGAATCGTGACACAGAGACTAGAGGCGAAGGAGCAATGCACAGAAGGGATGGAAATGAAGCAGGAGTGAGGAACAAGGACAAGAAGAAAAAAAGGAGGAGAAGAAGAACAACAACAAGAAATATTTCCCGTGTCAATATAACAAACCCTCCTATCGAACTCCTGACTGCTGTCAAAAAGGATAATCCTGAACAATGTTTTCATTGGCAGGAATACCTCCAATACAATCTATAAAGATAAATAATATATTCATAAATGTATTTAGAATATTATTTGTAAATGGATTTAGAAGATTGTTGAGAATATATAAATAGTATAATTAGAACCAAAAATATATTAACAGGATTTTGCAGTACAGTTTCTCTCTGTTTTTGCTGCTCTTGGTTGCGGAGCTTATTTATTGTCCTTAAACCACCAGTACATGCCAGTCATCGCCCGTGGGCCCCTTTCGGAGGCTGCCCACTGTCAATTTATTTTATTGATGGTGCGCGAGCCTCCAGAAGTTTAGGAGAGGCTGAATCGGACTCTCGACTTGGCTGGGGCCATTTACTGGTGCCTTAATAGGAGTAGTAACCAGCATTATTAGTTCCCACAGAGCAAATGCCGAGACTCTCTCTCTCTCTCTCTCTCTCTCTCTCTCTCTCTCTCTCTCTCTCTCTCTCTCTCTCTCTCTCTCTCTCTCTCTCTCGTGGTTCTCTAACTAGGTTTGCTAGAGTAGCCGGCGGTAATTGGGGGGCTTTGCTCCTCAATATCTACCCCGGCTTACTTAGATATTTAAGGTAGCTGGTTAGATGTGCCGCTTGATTTTTGTCTTGCCGGAGGTTTTTTGCCGAATGTTGTTTTTTTGCTTCTCCGGGCTTTATATATTTTTCAGTAGGTAGGCGGTTACTTCAGCTCCTCATGTACGATCGTATAAGGGTTCTATACCCAGGAGGAGGCTAGATTCCAGATTTTCAGAAGCAGGCCGACCTGATTTTTGCTGTTTCTGAAACCCGGGAAGCATCATGTGGGTCCCTGTAGGGTCAGTCGAGGCACCGACAATGGGCAGCGAAAGGACGGGCAAGTTTCCTACTTCCTACTTCGTACGGAAAGCAGGTTTAGTCCAAGCGGTATGTATCGATGAACTTCCAATTCGCGCGGCCTCTGTCACGGTGGAGAAGAACAGGAGCTATACTCGGCTATAGTGAAGATTTAGTAACACCGGGAAAGGTGGTCGATAGGGAAAACGATCAGGAGCGCGGATCGGTTGCCGCGAAGCAATGGACACGGTGCGGTAAGGTAGTACTGCGAGCAACGGAAGGGGTTGACGCAGAAAGGATCAACGATACTTCTTTGAACAGCAAAGCTGCAAGGGAAAGGGATTGTGAGGCGCAATTGCTGATTCGGGTGCTCAGTAGGGGAGGATCGAAGTGGACTGTAATACGATGGAGAGGGAGGGATATGAGTGCACGGGAGGATGGATTAATCGGGGATTTGCCATATGGGAGAAAGGAAAAAAGAATAAAAGAAAAAGAAGAAAAAAGGAAGGTGGAAAGAGTATGGTACCCGCCTTGGGATGGCCGTATTAGTATTTAAAGCGTGAGAGGGATGGCCGTAACCCTCTCACTAAGCAATGGTGCTTGTTCAATATACTTTCTCCCTGATGAGTCTGCGGTGTACCCCCACAGCGAAACGCGTCGGAGATCGCGTACGGTGCATCATTGATACTCCTGTGGAGTTCTGATTCTGAGGTATCTTGTTGGAAAAATGCTGGTATCTGATTGTACATGGTATGGTCTTCCAGCGTTGGGAACAGTGTGGCCTCTGTTTCTCCTATGAACTCTCTCTCTCTCTCTCTCTCTCTCTCTCTCTCTCTCTCTCTCTCTCTCTCTCTCTCTCTCTCTCTCTCT